CAGAAATGTTGAAAAATTGGGTAATCGAAAAATTAAAAATCGAAACAGGCCAAATTCGAAAAATCTAAAAGTTAAAAGCTGAAAAATTTAAAAATTTGAAATTAAAAAAATTGATAAAACGAAATTGAAAAATCGAAAACTCGAGAAATTGAACAATCAATAAATCGAAACATCTAAATCTCGATAAATCGAAAAGAAGAACTGAAAAATTATAAAAAGAAATCTAAAACCGAGAAGTCGAAAAATCGAAAAATCAAGAAATCGAAACATCAAAAAACTGAAAAATCTAAAATTTAAAATTTCGAAGAATTGAAATATCGATCACTGTAAAATCCAAAAATCGACAAATCGAAAAAAAGTAAAATTTAAAAATCGCAAAATTTACAAATCGTAAAAATAAAAAATCGACAAATCCCAAAACTGAAATATTGAAAAATTGAAAAATGGAAGAAAAATTGAAGAATGGAAAATGTGAAATATCGAAAAATCCGAAATCCGGAAATCCAAAATTCAAAAAAATGAGAAATCGAAAAACTGAAAAATCGAGAAATCGAAAAGTCGAAAAATCGAAAAACTGGGAAATCAGAAACCTGAAAAACGGAAAATTGAAGAAAAACTGAAGAATCGAAACTTTGAAAAGTAGAGAAATCGAGAATTGGGAAAATCAATAAAGCAATCCATCGAAAAACCGAAAAATGGAAAAATTGACAATTTAGAAACGTCAAGAATTGAGATGAACAATCGAGAAATTGAAAAATCGAAACAGGCCAAATTCAAAAAATTGATAAGTTAAAAATTGAAAAATCGAAAAATCAAGAAATTAAACAATCAAAAAAATGAAAAATCTAAAATTTTAAAATTCAAAGAATTGAAATATTGAAGATCTGTAAAATCGAAAAATCGAGAAATCGAAAAATCGAAAAATTAAAAATCGAAAATTTAAAAATCGTGAAAGTAAAAAATGGAGAAATCTCAAAACTGGAACATCAAAAAACTGAAAAATCGAGAAATCGAAAAAACGACAAATCCAAGAAAAACTAAAAAATCAAAGCACTGACAAGTCGAAATATCGGGAAATGGGATTCATCGAGAAACTGAGAAATCAAAAAATTGAAAATTTAGAAACGTCAAAAATTGAAAAATTGCAAAATCGCGGAATAGAAGACTTGAAAAATTGAAAAACCGTAAAATTGAAACATCGGGAAATTGAGAAATCGAAATGAATTAATCTAAAAATCGAAAAGTCAAACAATTTTAAAAATTTAAAACTGAGTAGAAGAAATCGAAACTGAAAAATAAAAATATCGAAGAACTGAAACATCAAAAAACGAGAAATCGAAAAATTTTGAATTAAAAAAATTGAAAAATGAAAATATCGAAAAACTGAAAAATTGATAAATCGAGAAATCAAAACATCAAAGGATCAAAACATTTAAAAACTGAACAATCCAAAAATCGGAATATTGAATCGTGAAAGTAAAAAATTGGTAAATTAAAAAAATCCAAAACTGAAATGACGAAAAATTGTGAAATCGGAAAACTGAAAAATCGAGAAATCGAAAAATTCAGACAACGAAAGTCGAAAAAGCCAAGTCGCAAAATCGAAAAATTGAGAAATTGAACAATTTTTTCTCTATAAATCGAGAATTAGAGAAAATGGGAAAATCGAAAATCTGAAAAATCGAAACGTTTAAAAACCAAAAAATTGAAAAATCGACAAATCAAGCATTTTAACCGCAAAGTCGAAAAATCGAAAGATCGAGAAATCGAAACACCAAAAAATCTGAAAATTTAAAATATAAAGATTCGAAAAATTGAAAAATACAAATATTGAATAACCGAAAAATAGAAAAATCGAAAAATCTAAAATTTAAAACTCGATAAATTGAAAAACTGAACAGTCGAAATATTGAAAATTCGAAATATTGAAAAACCCCAAAACTGAATTATCTAAAAATTAAAAAATGGACGAAAAAGTGAGAAATCGAAAAAATGAAAAATCGAGAAATCGAAAAGTAAAAATTGAAATCGAAAAATCGATAAATCGAAATATCAAGTACAAAAATGTCAAATTTAAAAATCGAAAAATACAAAAACGGAATATTGAAGAATCGAGAAAATGAAAAATAGGGAAACTGAAAAATTCCAAAATTGAAATGACGAAAAATTGAGAAATAGAAAAATTGGAAAATCGGAACATCGAAAAAGTGGAAAATCGAAAAATCAAAAAGTCGAAAAGGCCAAAAATCGAAAAGGCAGGAAATCGAAATATAAAAAAATTCAAAGCTAAAATATCTAAAAATCCAAACATCAAAAGATCGAGTAATCGACAATCGGAAAGTCGAAAAACTGAAAAATTCAAGCCGAAAAATCGTAAACTTAAATAATCGAAAAATTTGAAAATTAAAAAATCAAAAAAATTGAAGAATTGAAAAACTGAAAACTCGAAACATCGAATATTTAAGTCGAAAAATCGAAAAATCGAGAAATTGAACATTTTTTCTCTATAAATCGAGAATTCGACAAATTGAGAAATTGAACTGTTGAAAAATTAAAGATATATTGAAAAACCCCAGAATTGAAATATCGAAAAAATGAAAAATGGAAGAAAAATTGAGGAATCGAAAAATAAAAAATCGAGAAATCGAAAATATGAAGAATCGAGAAACTGAAGAATCGGAAAATTGAAAAATCCCACTACAGAAATATCAAAAAATTTAATAATTGTAAAATTGAAAATTGAGCAATTAACAAATCCAAATAAGCCAAAATCGAAAAGTTAAAAATTGAAAATTTTAAAAATTTAAAATAAAAAAACGATAAAATCTAAAAATCGAAAGTCGAAAAATCTAGAAATGGAGAAATCAAAAACTCTAAAATTAAAAAAATTGAACCATTAAAATATCAAAAAATTGAGAAAACGAAACATAAAAAATTGAAAAACTGAAAAATGTAAAATTTGGAAATCGTGAACGTAAAAAATTAAGAAATCTAAAAGTACAAAAATGGAAAAACCAAGAAATCGAAACATCGAAAAATTCAAAAACTGACATATTGGGAAATCAAATAAGCCAGAATTGAATCTAAAAATTGAAAAATCGAAACAAGCCATAATAGAAAAATCTAAAAGTAAAAAATTGGAAAATTGAGAAATTTAAGTTATAAAAATCGAGAAATCGAGAAATCGAGAAATCGAAAAATCTAAAAATCTAAGACATCGAGAAATCGAAAAATCTAAAAATCTAAGACATCGAGAAATCGGAACATCAAAAAATCGAAGAATTAAAAAAATCAAAAATCGAAAACTTAAAAATTCGAAAAATTGAAAAATTAGAATATTGATTCAATAAACTAAAAAATTGATAAATGGAAAAAATTCCAAAATTGAAATGACGAAAAATTGGAAAATCAAAAAATCGAAAAGTCGAAAAATCGAAAAACCAAGAAATCGAAACATCAAAAATTCGAGAAATCGAAAAATCTGAAATTAAGAAATTGAAATGAGCCAAAATTGAAATATCGAAAAGTTAAAAAATGAAAAAATGAAAGATTTTAAATTAAAAAGTCGATAAATTGAAAGCGAGCAATCAAAAAATTGAGAACCGAAAAATCTAAGACGAAAGAGAAGACAAAAATCGAAAGTCCGAAAAATCGGAACATCAAAAGACTAAAAAATCTAAAATTGAAAATTCGAAAATTTGAAAAATAGATCGACGAACTGAAAAATTTTATTTTTTTTTTATTGGAGTTTTAGAGGACATCAACCACGTAGGATTTTTTGTCCCCGAAACGTTATTCATTGGAGATAATCACAATAAAATAAAAGAGACAATTTAAATTAACTGATAAAGTTGAGCGACTTTAAGAAAAATTAATAATTGAAAAACCCAAAATTTTGAAATCCAAAAACTAAAACATTTAACAATGAAATTGGGAAATTAATAATTTTAAAAATCGAAAATTTGAAAAGCGGAAACATCGAAATTCTAAAAGTCAAACGATCAAAAATCGAAAAATGAAGATGTCAAAAAAAGTTCCTAAAATTGAAATGTTGAAAAACTGATAAATCATAAACTTGAAAATAGGAAAATCTGAAAGGCGAAAAGTCGAAGGATTTCAAAAATCGAAGAAAGATCGTAAAAATGAAAAATTGAAAAATCTAAAAATGTAAAATTTACAAACTCGAAAAATTGAAAAATAGAAATATCGAAGAACTGAAAAATCGAAAAATCGAGAAATCGAGAAATCTGAAATTTAAAAAATTTCGAAAAACTGAAGAATCGGAAAATTGAGTAACCGAGAAATCGAATTATCAAAAATCGGAAAATTCGAAACTTCAAAAATCTACAATTTATAAATCGGAAAATTGAAAACCGAAAAAGTAAAAAACCTAATAGTCAAAAAGTCGAAAAGCTGAATCGAAAAACTGAAAAATCCCAAAACTGAAACATCGAAAAATTGAGAAATAGAAAATCAAAAATCGAGAAATCGAATAAAGTCGAAATATTAAAAATTAAAAAAATTCAAGATCAAAAACTTAATTGAAAATGGAGAAATCGAAAAATTAAAAAATTGAAAAACTGATCGAAAATTTTTAAAAACATAAAATTGAAAAGCCAAAAATTGAAATAGTGGAAATTTGAGAAATTGAAAAATGAAGAAATGAAGAAACCGGAAATTAGAAGATTCGAGAATCTCAAGGATCGAAAAATTGAAAAATCCGGTCAATGAAATATCGAAGAATTGCGCCTGGAAAGTAAAAGTGGGTATATTTTTTCCTCCTAGAGATAAAAATAATCCCTGACGTCCTCAAGGTATTAGTCGTGCTTTAGAGGTCGAGAGAATTACTGTCCAAAATCTTCAACCGAATTTTTTCATGTTTGCTTACGGATGTGGCGCAAGCTTTGGCAATTTAGTCGCGAGTAAATTATTCCCCCCTACCGTAAACATTCAATTAGCGCTTTAAAAGTAATCCTGAAAACACCCCCACTCGTACTCACTGTTTTGCTTGCAAACAGGCGCCGATCCTGCCCATTTTCCGTCAGCTTGACACGTTCGACTTTGTAATCCGACGACATGATAACCGTGTTGACATGAATAGGTCGCTTTGGCTCCAAACACTCTTTCCGTGTACGTAACGCTACCAAAGGGGATTTGCTCGGGTTCTGGACATTCCCTATCTGAAAGCAGCAAAGTAGAAACATCTGTATGTACGAATCTCGCTTTCGACATTACCAGGCTTAATGCAAGACATTCCGCACGCTCCGTCACAAAGGCACTTCTTCTTCTTACTTTTGCAGTCTTCGTCTGACGAGCACTTCCGCAGACATCTATGGCCCTGGAAATTAGATTGGCCGGTTATGATCCAATTCTTGCCATGCTTTTATTGTGGGACTACGCTCGATGTCTTATTGCGTTAGGTTTTAATGGATTTTTTGTTAGAAGGTTCGTTTAGCTTAATTGGGATTATTGTTATGAATTAAGGACGAAAATGGAGACGAAACGGAATTTACAAACATGTACTCGTATGCCATTTAGTATGAAATAATACAGAACAGTTGAACTAGGGTTGAATTAGTACAAAATGTCAAAATACAACTCCATTTAAGCCTTAAATCGAGTTGTATTTTATACCAAACCCTAAGTACAATACAATTAAGGATTTTGTTGATGAGCTGTCAGATGATGGTACCTCTATTAAAGAACCTAAAATTATTTAGGTTGTCGCTTGTGAGTAAAATTTTGGGAGAGAATTTGTAAATGTGGATATAGATAGATCAAGATATAATAGAGAATTTCAAATTTGCTCCAATAACCTCTGTCGATGTTAACTTTTTCCTACAGAGTTTTTTATAAGCAAGCATTAGCCCAACCCACCTACCCTCTCTTCATTCCAATGACCTGTTCAGTCGTATCTTAGCAAGTATAGCCCCGCCCACCCACCCTTTCTTTTCTTAGAAGATATGTCACTTACCAAAATTAGTCTTATCTTAGCAAGAACTAGCCCCACCCACCCGTACTGTTCTCATTCTAACGATTTTATTTCTGTTCAGTATAAGATCCACCTGTCACTCTGGCTAGTGAAAAAATGAATCACTGAAATACAGGGGGGGTGGGTGGGCGGGGTTAATTATATATTCTTCTGTAGAGTGGGAATAGGAACTAATAGAACGTAGGCTGTTAAAAAAAGAAAAAAAAAACGCTAATCGTAACATTGCAAAATCTCAGAACTGAAAAACTGAAAAATGGAAGGAAAATTGAAAAATCGAAAAAACGAAAAAATTCATAACTGAAATCTTGAAAAACTGAAAAATGAAAAGAAAATTGAAGAATCGGAAAAGTGAAAAAATCCAAAACTGAAACATAAAAAAATTTAAAAATCGTAAAACTGAAATATAGCAAAGTTAATAAATTGAAAAACTGAAAATTTTTGAAAAAAAAATCGTATCAAAAACAAAAAATTCAAAAAATCGAGAAATTGAACAATCGAAAAATCAAAACATTGAAATCCCAGTAAGTTGATAAATAGGAAAATTTAAAAAACAAAAATTTTAAAAAGCCAAGAATTGAACAAGAAAAAAAATCTAAGCCTGAAAACTCAGAAAATTGAATTATCTAGAACAAAAAATCTAAAATTTAAAAATTCGACAAATTGAAAAATCATGGAATTGAAAAATCGAAAAGTCGAGATAGTGAGAAATCTAAAAACCTAAAACTTTAAACTGAAAAATTTAAAAACCGAGAAAACACAATATCAAAAATTTGAAAAATTGAAGAAACGAAATATTGCAAAATTCCAAAGCTGAAATATTGAAAAACCTAAAAATGGAAGGAAAATTAAAGAATCGATACAGTGAAAAAATCCCAATCTGAAACATTGAAAAATTGAGAAATGGAAAAATGGGAAAATCAAAAAAATTGGTCTAAAGAGTTTAGACAGTATTCCTTCGCTATCGGAAACGTGACGACTGCATGTCTATTATGTTTTTTTTTCACATTTGGGGTCATCCTGTATATGCAAATCCAAAAAACATGAATGGAATGTATATTTTTGGAATCAGCATATCGAGATCTATAACCCAGATTTTTTTAAGAATTTTTAGAAATGAAATTTTCCACTATGTAAACCCCCCTCCCCCGAAATTTAACTAACTACATTTTCTTGTAGGTTTTGGGCCGCAGAAGTCACTTCCGGACTCATTTTTTCGATAACTCGAACCGTTTTTCCAGAATCGCACATTGAAACATCGAAATTTTTAAAAATTTCACTCCGAGTATTTCGAAAATATGTCTCCGTGGCCCTTAACACACTACATTTTGGAAGCACCACGTCAAGATCTATGACTCTGAAAATATGAAGAATCGAGAAACTGAACAATCGAAAAATTGAAAAATCCCAACACAGAAATATCAAAAAGTTGAATAATTGTAAAATTGAAAATTGAGAAACTGAAAAGTCCGAATAAGTCAAAATCGAAAAGTTAAAAATTGAAAAATCTAAAATTTGGAAATCGTGAAAGTAAAAAATCAAGAAATCGAAAAGTACAGAAATCGAAAAACAAAGACTATCTTCATTCGAATGACTATAGTCTATTTCAGAACTCCGTTCGCTTAAGGCATAAACTGTTCCAAACATTGACAGATTCTAAGGTTTCTCAACCGTCGGTCGCTTGAGAGATGATAACTCTCGATTCGTTTTGTTTTATTAATTGTAAATAATAAAGAATTAGGTTACCTTAAAAAAAATGCTATTTCAGTTTGTCTTTACAGTTTTGGAAATTTCATTCTACCCTATAAAATTTTATTGGCAATAACGAGACGGACAATAGTACAATAGTAACAAATATTTAGAACTGAAAGTTGTCGCGTGCCGGTAATCCCCAGATATTAGAAAGCCGAATAATCCAAATCGTTACTCGCGAACCAAAAGGAGCACTATTTTATGAATATACAACTACCTGGTAAATGTTCTCCAACAAATTCGGGTGAAGCCATAAATATTTCTTATCATTGTACTACTGTCTGTCTCGTTACTGCCAATAAAATTTTATAGGGTAGAATGAAATTTCCAAAACTATACATGTACATAGATGTAGTGCTTCGACATTTTTAACGTCGCTGCTTTAAGCATTGAGTAAATCGCTATATCATGCAACCATGTTGAAAGTGCACTATGGTTTTCTTGCTTCGACTCGTTTGCCTTATACTTAAAGACATGGACACCCTTAGATTCAACGCTTACCTGCAAAAATAAGGTAACAGCTTATTCTTTAACAAAAGAAGAGCGGTAAAAGCCTGCTTGCTCGGTGATAATTGTTGATTGATCACCCCGATTTATGGCTTATACTTAATATTGTTTAGTCTTATCTTAGCAAGTATTGCCCCGCCCACCCACCCTCTATAACTCAAATGAAATTTTCCACTATGTACACCCCCCTCTCCCGAAATTTGACTAAATACATTTTCTTGTAGGTTTTGGGCCGCAAAAGTCACTTCCGGCCTCATTTTTTCGATAACTCGAACCGTTTTTCCAGAATCGCACATTGAAATATCGCAATTTTTGAAAATTTCAAAAAATTCGAATTTCACATCGAGTATTTCGAAAATATTTCTCCGTGGCCCTTAACACACTATATTTTGGAATCACCACGTCAAGATCTATGACCCTGAAAATATGAAGAATCGAGAAACTGAAGAATCGAAAAATTAAAAATTGAGAAATTGAAAAATCCAAATAAGCCACAATCGAAAAGTTAAAAATTGAAAAATTTAAAAATTTAAAATAAAAAAAAGATAAAATCGAAAAATCGAGGAATGGAGAAATCAAAAATTCTAAAATTATAAATATTGATCCATTAAAATATCAAAAAATTGAGAAATCAAAACATAAAAAATTGAAAAACTGAAAAATCTAAAATTTGGAAATCGTGAAAGTAAAAAATCAAGAAATCGAAAAGTACAAAAATCGAATAACCAAGACTCTCTTCAATCGAATGACTATAGTCTATTTCAGAACTCCGTTCGCTTAAGCCATAAACTGTTCTAAACATTAACAAAGTCCAGGGTTTCTCAACCGTCGATTGCTTGAGAGATGATAACTCTCGATTCGTTCTGTTTTATTAATTGTAAATAATAAAGAAATAGGTTACCTTAAAAAATGCTATTTCAGTTTCTCTTTATACTTTTGGAAATTTCAGTCTACCCTATAAAATTTTATTGACAATAACGAGACGGACAGCAGTACAATAGTAACAAATATTTACAACTTAAAATTGTCGCGTGCCGGTAATCCCCAGATGTTAGAAATCAGAATAATCCAAATCCGAACAGGGTCCATCGTTACTCGCGAATGAAAAGGAGCACTATTTTATGAGTATACAACTACCTGATAAATGTTCTCCAACAAATTCGGGTGAAGCCATAAATATTTCTTATCATTGTACTACTGTGTGTCTCGTTACTGCCAATAAAATTTTATAGGGTAGAATGAAATTTCCAAAACTATACATGTACATAAATGTAGTGCTTCGACATTTTTAACGCCGCTGCTTTAAACATTGAGTAAATCGCTATATCATGCAACCATGTTGAAAGTGCACTATGGTTTTCTTGCTTCAACTCGTTTGCCGTATACTTAAAGACATGAACACCCTTAGATTCAACGCTTACCTGCAAAAATAAGGGGACAGCTTATTCTTTAACAAAAGAAGCGCGGTAAAAGCCTACTTACTGGGTGACAATTGTTGATTGATCACCCCGGTTTATGGCTTATACTTAATATTGTTTAGTCTTATCTTAGCAAGTATAGCCCCGCCCACCCACCTTCTATAACTCAAATGAAATTTTCCACTATGTACACCCCCCTCCCCCGAAATTTGACTAAATACATTTTCTTGTAGGTTTTGGGGCGTAGATGTCACTTCCGTCCTTATTTTTTCGATAACTCGAACCGTTTTCCCAGAATCGCACATTGAAATATCGCAATTTTTAAAAATTTCAAAAAATTCGAATTTCACTCCGAGTATTTCGAAAATATTTCTCCGTGGCCCTTAACACACTATATTTTGGAATCACCACGTCTAGATCTATGACTCTGAAAATATGAAGAATCGAGAAACTGAAGAATCGAAAAATTGAAAAATCCCAACACAGAAGTATCAAAAAGTTGAATAATTGTAAAATGAAAATTGAGAAATTGAAACATCCAAATAAGCCAAAATCGAAAAGTTAAAAATTGAAAAATTTAACAATTTAAAATAAAAAAAAGATAAAATCGAAAAATCGAGGAATGGAGAAATCAGAAATTCTAAAATTATAAAAATTGATCCATTAAAATATCAAAAAATTAATAACGGAAAAATCCAAAATTTAAAAATCCAAAAATTGAAACATCGATAAATTTATCGAACAATCGAAACATTGAAACATCGGAATAATTGACAAATCGAAAAATTGGGAAATTAATAATTTTAAAAATCGAAAAATCGAAAAGCGGAAACATGGAAATCCTAAAAGTCAAAAAATCGGAAAATCGAACAGACGCAACATTAAAAAATCGAAAAATTAAAATGAATTTGAAAATTGGAAAATCTGAAAAGCGAAAAGTCGAACGATTTCAAAAATCGAAGAAAAATCGTAAAAACGAAAAATTAAAAATTCTAAAAATGTAAAATTTAAAAACTCGAAAAATTGAAAAATAGAAATATCGAAGAATTGAAAAATCTAAAAACCGAGAAATCGGGAAATCTGACATTTAAAAAATTTCGAAAAACTGAAGAATCGGAAAATTGACTAACCGAGAAATCGAAACATAAAAAAATCGAAAAATTCGACACTTCAAAAATCTACAATTCATAAATCCAAAAATTGAAAATCGAAAAAGTAAAAACCTAGTAGTCAAAAAGTCGAAAAACTGATTCGAAAAATTGAGAAATCAAAAATCAAAAATCGAGAAATCGAATAAAGTCGAAATATTGAAAATTAAAAAAATGAAAGATCAAAAACATGAATAATTCAAAATGGAAAAATCGAAAAATTTAATTTTAAAAATTTTAAAAAATTCGAATTTCACGCCGAGTATTTCGAAAATATTTCTCCCAATTAATTGGGAAAAAGGTGTGTTCGAATTACCGATTTGTTAGGACAAGCGAATTTCCAAAAATCTGAAAGGGAATTGAATAACAACTTCATACATTGCTACAACAAACTTCAAGAATTAAACCTTAACTTTATTAAACAAAAATTAAGTTTTATTAAGCAACAATAGATAATATATACATTCGAAAAAATATTACTCCGTGACAATAAACAATTTTTAGATCATTTTTTCACAAACGAAATTTTTCACTTACACCCCCTTAAGCAAATTTCGACCCATTTTCGACGATTTTCAAAATTTATATCCAATTGAAATGTTGCAATTTTTAAAAATTTCAAAAATTCGAATTTCAATCCGACTATTTCGAAAATATTTCGCCGCGACCGTTAACACGATATATTTTGGAATCAGCACGTCAAGATCTATAACCCTGAATTTTTTGAGAATTTTTAGACAACTTTTTCAAAAATTAAATTTATACCCATTTTGAAAATTTCAACCCATTGTCGACGATTTTTGAAATTTTACTGAATACATTTTCTTGTAGATTTCTGACCGCAGACGTTACTTCCGGCCTCATTTCTTCGATCGTTGTTCCATAATTGTCAATTAAAATATTGCAATTTTTAAAACTTTCAAAAAATTCGAATTTCACTCCGTGTATTTCGAAAGTATTTCTCCGTGACCCTTAACACGCTATACCGGGTGTCTGGAAAATGCCGGATTAACTCTACAGTACGTTATGTACGGGAGTTTCGGGAGTCCAAAAAAATTTTTAAAAATCTTTATGATGTAGAATACGATAAAAACGTTATTTTATAAAAGTAAAATTGGCAACAGTGCACACACCTAATGCGTGAAAACCTAAGCCTTACTTTCTGATTTATTAGTAACGATAGTGACTAAAATCCAACTTATATATATATATATATATATATTTTTTTTTTTGACAATAATAATAATAACCATAGCAACCAGTTCTGCATTATTATTAATAAAACGAGCTGTTATTTTTCATTAATAAGTAAACCACAAAAATCATTTAATAAGACATTTATAAATTATAAACAAAGACAAAATCAACAAAAGAAAAATCTATTAAAGCATAACCAACTAAACACTAGAGAAGATGTTCAAAATTCCTGCCTTATGCATATAAATAAGCTCGTAATGTTTCCAAATTTTGATCATTTTTTAAGAAAGTTAGTCATCAGTACTTGCTAAGATAAAACTAATGTTGACAATATACCCTCTAAGAAAAGAAAGGGTGGGGGGGGGGGCGGGGCTAGTATCTGCAGAGATAAGACTGATTTTATCAAATGACGTATCCTGTAAGAAATTTAATTAAATTATTTTAAGACACTAGAGGCCCCAGAGCACTTTCAAATTCTTTCCGAGCAGGAACCTAAAACCTCAAGATTGTTTTAAATTTTGCAAAAAAAAAACGGGGTCCCAAAACTGACTCAAAAACAGGTCAGGACAGATTAGAATTACAGAACTTATTTTAAGATAACTAGGTTTAGAGAGTGATTTAGAAAAATTAACTCAAAACGGCTAAATTGAGATCGGAACAAGAAAATCCACAACTGAAGAGTTGGAAATAAGTTGATACTTACACTAAATGGCCTGAAATAATTGAGGTAAAATCTGTGAACTCCCAAGAAAGAGCTCATAAATTACGAGAAGTAAATATTTCCAAGATTTAGGACTCCAAAGAATGAATTTTGTGATAAAAATAATATCAAGTAAGTTTTTAGTCGGTTTTATTATTCGTCATCCAGCGATTTGACAGAAAATAGCGTTAAATCATTTAAAAATAATTCATCGGCTACGTATCATTTAAATATTTTACAGCCTGAAATACTTAATAATCTGCATATCTTGAGCAAGACTACAATGAATTCATTTAAACTGTTGTACAGAAAAAAAATGCACCAGAGTAACTGTCAACGGTGCACTTGTAATAACATTTACCACACATAAGTTGTCAACAAAATTTTATAGTTTCAGTAAGGGCAAAATATATCCGAAAGTATTTGTATCGACCGATCTGTTCCGTGGATTATGATAGATCGTGTTTGCGTGCCCACACATTCCAGATTTAATGTCAATATTTGCTCAAAAGCTTATTACTGAAAAATGACTGCTGTATGCTTTAAAACATATACCTATCTACCTATCAAACACATTTGCATACATAAAATTTACAATGGTCTGACAACGATATATTTTCCCATAATTTCATGTTATGAACAATATACAGGGTTATGATAAAGTAAGGCACAAAATTCATAAAAAAACGCATGAAAATGTAGTTTGTGTATTAACTAAAAAAAAAAAACAGTAGCGTAATTACAAAATCCATATTTCCTGTTTTAAACACGTTCTAAGTTTTCTGTTGCGAAAAGAAGATTACGAACAAGAAAAAAAGGCAAAATATTTTGGCTTAAATGTAGGCTTCTTTTCGCGAATTTCTGATTTATTATTAATAAATATTAGTGAAAATGTGTTGGGTTAGTACTGTGAACACGAACGAAAGTGGATATTTTTCCGAAAAGGACTGAAAACGGGGTAAGTACGACTTCAGTTTTAATTTATCGGGTTTCATGATTCGTTTACTCGACAATGTTTAAATTTTGGAAAAAAATTCGAAACGGTTGAAGTTGATCGCTCAAAGCTATACATTTTCACGATATAATTAAATAAAATTTAGACATAATTGATATTATTTATAATGCTCAAATATGGTAAGTAACTATTAATATATGATAATCAAACCGAAAACCGTTTTACTATAAACACGATGGTATTAAAAACAAAGCAATTTGTTTACATATTGTTAAGTTAATCCTGCAAATGAGTAATGTGCCGGCCAAAATATGAAAAATAATTTTTGCAATCTCATCGTGACGTGCGATGACGTCACTGTTACGTGAGCTACCTGTCCAAAGGTCGCATTTTTCGGTCCTTTGTGTTTAGTTTTAATTTCTGTTTGATGACGACGCGTCCTTTTGGCGTAAAAGTAGAGCAATTTCGCGAATTTCTAATTTATTATTAACAAATATTAGGGAAAATATGTTGTGTTATTGCTGTGAACACGAATGAAAATGGATATTTTTCCGAAAAGGACCGAAAACAGGGTAAGTAGGATTCCAGTTTTAATTCATCAGGTTCCGTGATTCGTTTACTCGACAAAGTTTAAATTTTGGGGAAATTTTCGAAACGATTGAAGTTGGTCGATGAAAGCGTCCCATTTAAAAAAAAATCATCAATGACGTTATAACTTTTACAAATTTGACATACAAATTTTTTGACATATGTCAAAAGATGGACAGTAAAATGAAAGGCTTGACATGTTTTCGCATTTTGCTGTGCTTTTTATGAATTATTGTACATTCCTTTATCATAAACTTGTATATAAAGTCATTATTTCTTAAATCCAAAGTTTAATAACTATAATGTGATATTACCAACAACTGTAAAATTGATATTATATAACCCATTAGAAAATCAATCGACGGTATTGAAGTCTAGTCTCCCCGCATTGATAAATTAGTGCACTCTGGGGAACACATGTACGGGTAATAACTGGTGTATTGATGCACAACACGTGATGCTCAAAATAATATGTTCCGTGTCCAGTACTACAAACTCAATAGCAATAAATTCTCTCCTACTGTTATTACCGCACAAAATCAAGCATAAAATGCTAGATCTACTATTAGGACCTACAAGACACAACTGCAAAAAACACTCACCAACTGCGTGGCCTGTGCATCATCCCTCGGGCACAACGTCGACGGGGAGTTTCTCGGGTTCTTATAAATTTTCCCATCATCCTCAACTTCTGACGAATCATCGTCATCCCATTCATCATCGTCGTCGTCGGGGTTCGGGGTTGTGCTGATCGTGACCGATCGCTCTAACCGCATCGACAACACTGCAATAGGAAATGTAGCCAAATAATTGCAAATTGTCAAGAGGAGATAGATTTATAGATTTGGTCGGCGAAGTTTAATAGATTATTAAAACGTGTCGATTGCGGCCGGATCCCAGCCGGAACGATTCATCACAGCCCGGATTAATCCAGTGATGTTGCGATGCCAGACGTAAGGGAAAAATACGTAGGAAGGAAAAGGAGTGAATTATGGCCCGTGCCGGAGTTATTTTAAGGTGATAGTAATTAGAAGGGTTCGAGGACTCAATTTCACAGAAAGTGTTTCTGCCGTTGCTATAAATTTTATATCGGGTGTACAAAAATAAAAAATACACAATCTTCAAAAAAGAGTCTTAATTACATTGAGAAGGTGCAGGTGACACGTAAACTTTAACACCTCTTGTACTATGAGACGAAATCCACTCTTGTATTTTAGAATAACATTCACACTTCCATGGATTTCCAGAAAGATAATTTCTCTGCGCAGTCAACAAACGACTAAGACTCCCATTTAAACACTCCAGTTTATTATTAGCAATTTCAAAATCCTCTGCAACAACGTTGTCAAAATCTTCTTCATCCCACCCACTTATTTCATTGTTTCCCAAACTCAAAGCTCCCAACCCAGAATCCCCAAACATGGCGCCCGAAATTCTTTTAATTCTATTATAACCCAGCTGCAAACCACCGTAAATATTTTCCAAACCACCATCTGGAATATGTTCGATGAAATTATGCTGAAGCCTCACAATGCGCATTTGTTTATTTTTAAACCACCTCGGGTTAAATTCCTTGATACTATTGTTACGCAAACTCAAAACGTCCAAATTCTTCAAACCATCGAAAGCAGTGGGAGAGATGTAGTCGATGTTGTTACCATCCAGAGAAAGATACGTCACATTTAAATCCACGAAAACTCCATCCTTGATTTTTGTTAGTTTGTTCCGGTCTAGAATCAGCTCCTTCATCCGGGGCAAATTTTTTAAAGCTCCTGGACGTATGTCTTCGATTTGGTGGTCCTGTAGCTCCAGAATGAACAAACTGTCAAAGTCGGTTACTGCGTTTTCGTAAACCACGGGGATTGGGTCTCCTTTTTTTATAAATATTGCGTAAATGGATTTGTGTGGGAGGATATTTCGTAGATTGGCGACTTCAGGAACAAATATTGTGACGGATTTGTCGTTGTAGATGTGACTGGTGACTGTTACATTTTTAAAAGTTACGCCGGTTTTGAGATTGATTGATGACGCACTGATGGTTAAAACGTTAACAATTAACGATAATACTGTTTTAGCACACATGGTTGTAAACTTAGTTAAGAATTTTGTAAGTTTGCGTTTGATTATGTATCCGTGACCCTATATGATTGGAGCTAAGGTTATCTGCACAGGATTCCCCATATTTATGAGCTGCGAAACTTGGGAAAACCGGGTTTTGTTTGACAGGTAAGGTGTGTATTATTGGACCATCATGACTCATGAATATGTTACATAAAAGCCAATCCTCCGGAAAAATTCAGCCCGCAGAAAACAACGAACTGTATATAAATGTGGAATCTGAATTTTTAAAATGTATTTAGTTGCACAACAACAAGCAGTTGAATTTTTTACTCGTGCTCAAACAGTGTAAACTCGTTATTAATGAGAATGACAAAGAGACCGCGTTAACACAATATTATTAGTGCAAGTGTTTACAAAATCTGAGCAATAATAGACTCGCTGAGTTTAGCAAATTAGTTGATGGCAATGGATATCACTTACACATCGTTCTGTAGACTTGCTTTAATTGGGGTCTGCTTTCTAACAAACTTCAAAGGGAAGTAAAGGTTTGTTATGAAGAATGGCTATACTTTCATGTGTTTTAAAAACTTCATATCTCCTAGCGGTTTGTCTGTCGTCTGTCTGACGTCTCTTTGTTGGAGGTTTGCTTAGACATTACATAAAGCATAAATACGTCATTAACTACACATTTTTGTGTTTTACAGTTGATGTTTTTTCAAATTTCCACTGTAAAATTCTGTCTTCACTCTATCAACAACATTTTGTATGAAGTAAAACTTCGTTCTACATCAGAGAACTTGTTTGATCTACCGACCAGAGCGCACTCAGGCCAATATCGACTCTAATCGTTCAGAAACAACTTGAAAGAAATAATTTTTTAATTATGTTTGGTACTAGCAAAATTCCGCAAACTAATAATACTGTTGGAATCGATATCATGCAATAGATTTTTTTCGGAAAAGTGTAGATATTTTTGTCTTCTGGAAAAATAATGTTCAGCGAAATAAGCGAGGTCCAACTATAAATCTTATTTTGATTTCGTGCTACAATTAATTTTAAAAACAAGAGCAAAATGTATGTTGTTGAAGTGTCACTAAAGATTCTGCAAAGTCGATTAAAAAAAAAAAAGTACATGACCATCTTAACGATTTAGTAGATACCTAATATTCCCGAATGACAAAATTTACATTTGAAAGCTCTTGACAGCTGGGCTACCTGAATTGTGAGTATTACAATCATACAAATAATTACATCGCATTCGTTGAACATACAGGTAATAAAGAGCAGCATGATAATAGAAAACAAATTATTCAGTCATGTACATGCATCTTATAATAAAATAAAATTGACAACTACTTTATATGTTAAAACGTAACACAGTCCTGAACTTGTGGTTTAGAAATCCGCGTTGAATTTTTATCCTCGACATTGAGATTTATGGATTTTCTCGATTTTCAGTTTTACGTTTTTTCAATTTCTTTCCTCTTGCATTTTACGATTTTTAAATGTTTCGATTTTCCAATTTTTGATTTTATAAACTCTCAATTTTCCGATTTTTCAATTAATCGATGTTTTGATTTTCCCGTTTCTTGACTCTTTCGATTTTTCTGTTTTCAGTTTTTCAGTTCGTCAATTTTTCGATTTTTTAGGGTTTTCTATTTTTTAAGGTCTCGATTTTTCCACTTCACTTTTATGATTTTTAGGTTTCTCAATTTTTCAATTTTTTAATTTCTCAATTTTTCAATTTTTAGATTTTTGATTTTTCAATTTTTTGAGGTTTTGATTTTTCGACTTCACTTTTTTGACTTTTTGATTTCTCAATTTTTCACTTTTTTTATTTCTCAGTTTTTGGGTATTTCAGTTTTTCCATTCTTCATTTTTTTTTTCATTTTTAATTTTTCGAAAGTTCAGTTTTGGGATTTTTCTGATTATTTATTATTCAATTTTTCTATTTTACAATTTTTCAATTTTTCAATTTCTCCATTTTCAATTTTTCTCCTCCTCAATTTTACGATTTTTAAATATTTCGATTTTTCGATTTTTCAGTTTTTGACTTTCCTAAATTCTCAATTTTTCGATTTTTCAATTAATCGTTGTTTTGATTTTCCCATTTCTTGAATATCGACTGATTCGATTTTCCAGTTCTTCAATTCTTCAGTTTTTTGATTTTTCAAGTTTTTGATTTCTCAATTTTTCTATTTTTTTAGGTTTCAAAATTTCGACTTCGACTTTTCGATTTTTGACTTCTGGATTTTTCGAGGTGTGAATTTTTCTATTTTTCAATTTTAAATTTTTCGAGATCTCGATTTTTCATTTAAATTTTTCGATATTACAATTTTTGAACTTTTCGAATTTTTCAAATGTTTCGATTTTCTTAATCTTTAGATTTTCCGACCTCCCGGTTTTAGATTTTCTGTTTTTCAAATTTTCGTTGTTTAAAATTTTTGTTTTTTTAATTTTCCTTTTTTAAATTTTTCGATTTTTCATTGTTTTGATTTCCCGATTTATCGAGATTTGGATGTTGCGATATTTTGATTGTTCAGTTTCTCGATTTATCAGTTCTTCAATTTATAACTTTTCGTTTTTTTATTTTGGCCTATTTCGGTTTATCAATTTTTCGAATTCATTACTTCTCGATTTCTCAATTTTTTGATGTTTCGATTTCTCAGTATTTCAATTTTTCAGTTTTTCGAATTTTTAAATTTGTTGATTTCTCGATTTGTCGAAGTTTTGGATCGATGCTTTGATTGTTCAATTTCTGGATTTATCAATTTTGGCCTAGTTCGGTTTCTCAATTTTTCGACTTGTGAATTTCTAAATTTCTCAATCTTTTAATTTTTCGTTTTTTCGGTTTTTCGATTTTTTACTTTTCCGATTTTCGTTTTTTTTTTCGATGTTTCGATTTTTAAAACTTTGTAGTTTCAAATTTTAGATTTTCAAATATTTTCAAGCCGAAAATCCAAAAATCGAAAAAAGCGAGTAATCAAAAAATCGAAACATCTACAAATTGAAATACTGAAACGTCGAGAAGTTGAAAAATATCGAAAAACAGAAATATCCCAAAATCGAAAAATACAAAAGTTAAAAATTGAAAAATTGAAAATTTAAAACCAAAAAAAAAGTGTAGGATTGTAGAGAAATCGAAAAATTTAAAAATCGAAAAATGGGGAAATCGAAACATCAAAAAATTGAAAAATCTAACATTTAAAAATTAGAAAAACTAAGAGAGAAATATTGAACTGAAAAATCGAAAAATCTAAAACTGAAATATCGAAAAAAATTGAAAAAGCATAAAATCCAGAAATCAAAAAAGTGAAAAACTGAGAAATCGAAAAATCGAAATGTCGAAATATCGAAAAATTGGAAATCGAGAAAAATTGAAGAATATAAAAACTGAAAAATCGCAAAACTAAAACATCAAAAAATTGAGAATTCTAAAAATTGGAAAATCAAAAACCGAAAATCGAGAAATCGAAAAATTCAAAATTTAAAAAATCGAAAATTGAGAAATCGAAAAACGTACTGAAAAATCGAAGAGTCTAATAATTGAAAAGCCGAATAGCCGGAAAATCGAAAAAGCGAGAAATCAAAAAATCGAATCATCCAAAAATTGAAAAACTGAAACATAGGGCAATAGAGAAACTGAAAAGTTGAATTTTCGTTGTTCGGTTATTAAATTTTAGATTTTCAAATTTTTCATATTTTTCGATTTTTCAATTTTTCGGTTTTACGTTTGTTACTTCCCGAGCGTAAGCAAAGGAAGTATTGTAATCGAGTCCGTCGGCCGACTCTCTACTTTTACGTTTTCTCGATCTTTCATGACCCCTAGAAGACGAAGAAATAGGTCTGCCATTTCCGTCTGTCTGTCCGTCTGTCCGTCTGTCTGCCGTCCCGGATTTTTATTAGACAGATAATCTCCGAAAGTACTAGAACGATTGTTGTAAAATGTTGTACTTATATTAGGAATATCATGTAGGTACATGGTAAAACGCTAACCAAAATTTGTCTAGTCATCCCCACCACTAATGCGATGACGTCACTTCAAAATTCTACATAGTAAATGGGTTTTATATTGTATAAAATAACATAGTCCTACACATGTAGTTTACAACTCCGAATTGAGTTTTCACCCGAAACGTCCAGATTTTTGGAAAAAAAATCAAAACTATAAAACATCATTTTGCAATTTAATTTTGAATCTGCTAACCCGAATGTTTTGAAATGTTGCAGATGTTTTAAGGCTATAAAGAGCATCATAAATCTTTAGTCAAAATATATTTGGTTATCCCCTCCAAAAACTTAATGACGTCAGCTCAAAAGTTTGCCGAATAAATCCTATCTAAAATGTATAAAATATGATGAGTTTGTACTTGTAATTTATCATTCCATTCATATTTTTTGAATTTGCATATATAGGGTGACTCAAAAAAATAATGATTGCGTAAATTTATTTTGTTGGTTTACTCAGGAACTACAAAACTGAATGCTTTGAAAACCAAAGATAATTTCCCAAAAATCGGTTAACAGCATTTCTATTTTTCATTTCAATTCTTCAATTTTTTAGTTTTTAGGTCTATGATTTTTGAATTTTTCAGATTTTCCATTCCTCTGTTTTTCTTTCATTTTGCAATTTTTCGAAATCTCAGTTTTGGGATTTTTCTTATTATTTATTATTCAATTTTTCAGTTTTTCAGTTAATCGATGTTTTGATTTTTCTTGACTATTTCAAATTTTCCAGTTCTTCAATTCTTCAATTTTGTTGATTTTACCGGTTTTTGATTTTTCAATTTTTCAATTTTTTTAAGGTTTCGATTTTTCGACTTCCCGTTTTTGATTTTTCGATTTCTCAATTTTTCAATATTTTAGATCCTCAGTTTTAGGATTTTTCAGTTTTTCCATTTTTCAGTTTTTCGACATTTTAGTTTTAGGATTTTTCAGTGTTTAGATTCTTCGACTGTTCGATTTTTGATTTCTGGATTTTTTTGTATCGATTTTTTTACTTTTTTGATATTTTAATTGTTAAATTTTTAAGGTTTTAGATTTTTCGATTTCTCGATTTTTCATT